AGGGATCAAACCTGCAGCCTTAGCAAACAGGGAGGATGCTCTAGCCAGTGGAACAACCAGACACGGCAGTAATTGTTCTCTTTCCACTGCACTCTAACCACGCACAGCTCTGGGATGCCCAGATGGAGAGGAGAAACTGCTCCAGCTTTCTAAAGCTTAGTGTTCAGTGTATATCATACATTCAGATATTTCTTAGGACCAGAATTATATTTTTTATCTTCTGACACATGGTATCCAATGGGTCGTTTATTTACTATACTTGGTGTAAGAGGAACTTCAAACTGATAATAGACTGTATAGAGTCTAACGTATGATGAGTTTCCTCCCCCCCAACACAAATGAAGATTATTTATTTGCTAATGTTGAAATTATTTTTTAACCATTTACCAAAACTCCACCAGTATTTATTTTGTTGAATCATTTGGTGTTTTGTATTTTTACAGTCGCTGCTGCTCCTAGCTTACCTCATAAGGAATGGATCAGAACGTGTTGTTACAAGTGCCAGAGAACACATTTATGATTTGCGATCCCTGGAAAATTACCACTTTGTAGGTGAGCAATAGGAAAACCTTATAAGCAAATTAAAACAGTAGTTGGAGTTGTCAGTCACCTGAACCAGCTTAGAAGCTTCTCCGCTCTAATTAGAATGTGACTGTTGCTGGTTGTGTGACGAGTGCAGAATCCAAGACGTGGGGCCCTAGAGTATTAATTAGTGAAGACAAGAACTTGCAGAAAAGACCGGCTAATAACAACAGAACCAACACAACATGAGTGTTCGGGTTTATATTAAAATATGCACTGGAGACTGGTCCCCTGTGGTGTCCGTAAAGGAATAGCTTTAATCATATGGGAAGAAAAGGTTAGAGCTCCAAAACACACACATCTGTTTGAAGCTGTTTTTTTTCCTCCCACCAAATAATATTTACTGTGCAAAGGCAGCAAGACCAGAGTGTGTTTTGAATGTGAAAGAAGATACAGAATGAACCACATTTCATTTTGTAGTATACTCCAGTTGAAAGCACTTTAAAAAAGCAGTTTTTCAGCTATACTAAATTCTGGTAATTAGTGTTTCCAAACTTGTATTGGGAAAACCAAAGCATTTGGGTGCTTAAAACCCAAAATGTGAGTTTTAATAACTGAAGTGAGTTTCGTGAGTTTTGATTTTTTTGTTAAAAACCATCAAAAAAGAAAATAACATTTGTGGATATAAGTCCATTTTGTGTGGTCATCATTAGTAATCCTTTTCGGTGGATCTTGCATTGATCTCGTGTAGCACTGTTATCAGTGGTCCTTTCTAGTTCAACTTTACAGGCTCTTATAAACCAAAATTGCATCTCAAAACTTAGAATTTGCTAATGAGGAAATGACAGAATTTAACAGCATAATTGCCTCTCTGTTAATTTTAAAATACTGGTTTCTTCTGTGGAAATTTTCGTTTCTGTTTTTTGTATTAAAGGGTTTGATAGAGATTATCTGAATTCTTAAGGTTTTGTTTCTCCCTTACCATCCTCACAGATGAGCATGGCAAGGATCAAGGTATAAATATTCGCCAGAAGGTGAAAGAATTGGTTGAATTTGCCCAGGATGATGACAGGCTTCGTGAAGAGCGAAAGAAAGCAAAGAAGAACAAAGACAAATATGTTGGAGTTTCCTCAGAAAGTGTTGGAGGGTTCAGATACAGTGAGTATCAGAAACAGACTGGCACCCAGCCACCAGTTTAGCTTCTGGGTATATTTTAAGAATCATTGAACTATGAAAGACCAAAATGCTATTGTTTGGGGGTTTTTTTTAGGAATGCCTAGAATACTAAAATATATGTAATCGTCATTTTGGCTCTTATTATATGAATCTTAGGAATCTTTCTCTTTATTTAGTGTGCTCAAGAATATGATATTTGGTGGGTTCAAGACTAAGATTTTAACCATTAATTGTTAATTAAATGACCATATCTTTGAGTTGATATACAGAGCACAAAACAAATACATACCCTTACCTCTTGGTGTTACCATTCTAAAAATGAAAAAAGTTTGAGCAAGAAATTAATCTTCCTAATTCGAAACCAATTTATTTATCTGTTTTTGGCCAAAAATAGATACTAAGCTTCTGTAAGTGGGCTCAGCCTCAGTCTTCCCCCTCATCAGGCAGTGCATCAGTCTGACAGGAAAGGGACCGACGGCGTCGTTCCTAGCACATCGCAGAGCAGCTAGCACGTTCATCTCCCAGGTTTATTTTCAATGTAACGATGTCGTTTGCCTAAAAGAGATCGCTGAGCGCTTGAAACAGAGAGGGTTCAGAACCGCTCTCTTTCCCGGCGTGCCTCTTCTGACTCGTGGCTTCGCAGCTCTTCAACCCCGGTCGTTGGGGCCTGCACAGCCAGGCCGGCACTGTGCACACACACTGGGGCTCTCCAGCTCCTCCCACCTGTATGTGTGTGTTTGGTTTTTCTGGGACCTCACAGCTTGTCATTGGAACTGTACGAAAACCTTCTGTTTTTTGTCTTGTGATTACCTGTAAAATAATATTTTCACTCCTTCGCTCCTCTGCTTTCTTGTTCACAAAGAGAATGCTACCCTTTAAGTTGTTGTTAGAAGATGTCTCTAACAGCAGAAACGTTTCTTTTCTGTCTCAGCATTACATAAAAGTGAATTCTTGAATTGGGCAAAAATATTTACCTTAATTAAATCATGTAAATATGTTTTAAAGTTTCTATTTATTTGGGGGAGTAAGAAGTTTTTGGATTATTTGCCCAAGTAGTTATTTTATTCTTTAACTTTTCAAAGTAGCTGTAGCAATTTAATGTGTTCATAAAATGTGTTCATGAGTAGAAACTGCTATTTGCAACTCATTTCCTCATTCTATTTGCTTGTAATCCTCTTTTTTACCAGCACATTATATAATTAAATAAATTTAGAAAATTGAATACATTTTCAGAATACATCACAGTGAACTATGTGTGGTAGAGATAAGAGTTGAGTGGCCTATGTATTTGCATCACATTCTTTTATAAGTTATTTTCAGTATATGTATATGCTTTGGAGACTTAATTAATCAACTTTAACTATTTTATTTGGGGGGGTTTTTTTTTGGTTTTTTTTGTTTGTTTGTTTTTCATTTCAGCATTAGATAATATCATGCCAACATCCAGGATTTTTGGCATGCCTTTAGTATACCTACCACACTAATCAGTTTCATTTTCAATGCCTTTCATTTTTCTGATAAATTCTTTTTCAGAGTTTAGTTTATCATATTGTCACTGGAATATTACTGGAAAACCACTGTTTTTATAAAACCATCCTGGTTTACATTTATGTAAGAAACTTTATTTTTCATGTTCTGTGTACGTTGGTGGTCACTGTCAGATTTAGTAGACATGTATTAAAATTCTCAAGCTCTTACACGGAATCCTGACTTCACAGTTTCAGCAGGCACTTCAGGACGGTGCTTTGTTCAGTCTGCAAAGGAGGTGTGCGCCATCAACTCATTTACCAAAGCTGAAGCAAAAAGCTCTCTCACCCACCTTGGGATGATTTTGTTGCTTCTCATTGCCCTTCCCTTTTCTTTCCAACCTGCCTTAATTTTCAGTGTTTTCTTCTTTTTAACCTCATGTGATTTTCCTGTACCTTCTGTTCTTGCCTCTTGAGTTTGGACATGAACATTGGAATGGAAAGGTTCCTTCTAATGCCTATAATTCCTTTCTTTGGACCCCAAGGTCAAGGACTAAAACAGATCCTGACTTTTGGGAGTTTTGTTTGCTGCCATGATCTGTTCCCCTCACTTTCAGATTCACCTTGAGGCTCCCTAGGTTTGACCAGCCCCAGTGTGTATCTGTTTGAACTGCTTGAGCATATTTCATGATTCCAGTCAGTGTAGCTTTGGGTAATTAGAATATTCTTTTCTTTTTACTCTAATTAAAAGATGCTTTCTCATGTCGTAAAATCCATTGACTTATTTTTCTAGTTTGATACTAAGGAATGTCTTTATAGCACATTGAGACATGTAACAGGTAGAATGGTGTTTCTTATAGCTTGTGTTTTAAGAAACTTAGCTGTCCGATACTTTTCTAATAACTGAAAACATTGAGAGGAATGAAATATAATTCATTAAGTGACTTTGGTAAAAACAGATTTCCGTTTCTACTTGGCTTATGTAGCCTGTGTTGGTTTTTGTGTTTCCCTCTACTCCTTTCATCAGCCTTTAAGAACTTCCTGATAGTGCTGTGCTGTGCTGTGCTGTGCATTAAGGTCATGTAAGTTTTCATAAGTGAAAGCTTTTGAATCTGCGTTCCCTGCCACTTACTGACTGGCACTGCCTGCTGTGTCTTGCTATAATTGTGTTGATTCAGCACCATGGGAGCTTTCTGTTTTCCTTTGAAAACTATTTTATTATGAGAAAAGCTTCAGAAAGAACTGTAGACACGTTTTGTATTTAATGGCCTTAGAGTTGCTTCTTTTTTTAATGCTTTATATAGGTGAAAGATATGATCCTGAGCCCAAATCAAAATGGGATGAGGAGTGGGATAAAAACAAAAGTGCTTTTCCATTCAGCGATAAATTAGGTGAACTGAGTGATAAAATTGGAAGCACAATTGATGATACCATCAGCAAGTTCCGGAGGAAAGACAGAGAAGACTCTCCAGAAAGATGCAGGTACTCACATTTTGTGTTCTGGGTCTCTCAGAGAGGATGCTAAATTTGTGCAGCTGGGTTGTTTTGTTTTGGGTGTTACCATTGTTTGAAGTTCAGTTTTTTCCCCTAGTTTTACTTTTTAGATTGCAAAAAAAACTGCATAAATTAGAGTTGTCATAATAACACAAAATTTCCCGTTACTGATATCTTGTATTACTGTGGTTCATTTATTACCAGTTGATAACCAACACTTGTATATTGTTACTAAGTCTGTTGTTTGCATTAGGGTTCACCATGTTGACAGTTGACAAATGGGTAATATCCACCATTACAGAACCATATAGAAGAGGGACACTGCCCTGAAAATGCCCTGTGCAAAAAATGGAATGGTTTATGAATTTGCACATCATCCTTGCACGGAGGCCATGCTGCTCTTCTCTGTGTTGTTCTGGTGTCAGTGTGTTTGCCGCTGGTGACTGACTGTGGCTGTTTTGAAGATGCTGAGTCAAACACTGTTTGAAATTAGCACCGACACACTTTCGTGTTGTCTGTGTCCATTTATTTCTAGTTTTCACATTTCCTGTGTGTTTATTCAGACTATTTATTGGACTTTTTTTCTCAATAAGAACTTTCAAAGCTTATTTTTCACTTGGGCATCAGATTATTCAGAGATCTAAGGTATTGCTGAGGGTTAACAAAGTTTATTATATTAAATTTAAACAAAAGTTAAATGGTTTGAAATTTAACTCCTTCTGTGACATTTCATTAGGATTCTGTGCCAGTGTATACCAAGGAAAAAATCCAAATGGATTTTTGGACTAAATATATTTTGAGTATTTTCATAAATTACATTTTCTAATGGTAGGGCATCTTTTATTTAGTTTTATATAAAACTAAAATAGCACTTAGAATAGCATTTTTGTTCTACTTACCAACATAGCTATCAGTTAGTTTTGCTGCATGTTAAAAGGGCAATGTATACAGCATTTCATTTGCAAAGCAAGTGTTACAAGACTTTTGTCGTTTCTGCTTCCAAGTATCTCTATTTGATAGGCTAGAGAAAGGATTTTACCCTTATTGTTGAGAAGTAAAACCTGAGGCCCAGTCAGGCAGTGTTGAACTTGCCTAAAATGAGTTAGTGAGCATTCGCCAGGTGGCTCAGTTTGTTGGAGCATCATCCCGTGTACTGGAAAGGTGGTCGTTTGATCCCTGGTCAGGGCACATACAGGAGATAACCGACTAATGTTCCTCTTTCAACATCAGTGTTTTTCTCTTGAAAAAAAAAGATTATTTATTTTCAGAGAGAGGGGAGAGAAACATCAGTCAGTTGCTTCTCGCACACCCTCAGCCAGGGATCTGGCCCACAACCTAGGCATGTGCCCCGACCAGGAATCCAACTGGCAACCGTTCAGTTTGCAGGCCTGCACTCAATCCACTGAGCCACACTATCCAGGCCTGTTTCTTTCTCTCTCTCTCTCTCCTCTCCTCCCCCCCCAAAAAAAAATCAATAAACGAATCTTTGGGTAAGGATTTAAAAAAAAATAAGTGTTAGAAGTCTTCAAGCAAGTTCTTGTAATATTTTGGCCATGTATTCTGTTGCTGTTTTCTGAAGTGTCAGAATCAAGTAGATCGGCTGTTTAGACGTTGGACTGTGTACGTTCTCATGTTGTTTCCTCTGCCTTTCCACCCTTAGTTTTTCTTTCCGTGCTTTTGTCTTCTTATTCTTTCTTTTTCTTTGTTGGCTCTAAGACAGAATCTGCTGGAGTTCATAAATCTTTTATATAGAGTATTCAAGTTAAAGAGTGAAAATATAGTGTATATTATTTATTATAGTAATTAAAGGGCACCTCAAGGACTTTTACACCTTGGAGTATTTGTGAGAGAAGGATAGTTTTTAGACAAAGTTGCATGTAACCTTTTTGCCATATTACCACAATTTCAGACTCCTTAGTTTATTATTAGATTTAGGAATTCTTGAACATAAATGAAATATAAGGCTTCCATTTCACTGTGTGCCAGTCAGGTTTATATTCTCAACTTAAAAAGAATCATCTTGATTGAAATAAAATTGTACATCAGGAAGGTAGGAAATTTCTGCTTTACTTATAGAACTGATGGTGGGATTCTTTAGGTCATTTATGCCAAGAAATTATATAGTAAGTGACAAGGACTTATCAATTATCAGAACTTGAAGATTCCTGCTTATAGATAAAAATACATTTAATGCCTTTGCTGTGTGTTAGAAGCCATGCTTTTTGATCCTTGATTTATACAGATTTGGAATGAAACAATTTCAATTGAGTTTATATTTTAGTAGAAATTGGCTTTAAATCAGACTGAGTTAAATTTCATCAGTGATAATAGTCATAGTTTTAAAGAGAATTTTCAGTAATTAATTTTACCGTGGCTGGTCCAGCTCAGTGGATTGAACACTGACCTGAGAACCAGAGGGTTCCTGGTTTGATTCCCAGTCAGAGCACATGTCTGGGTTGCAGGCCAGGTCCCCAGTAGGGGGCACGTGTGAGGCAACCATTACCTCCCTGCCCTCTCTCTAAAAATAAATAAATAAATAAATAAATAAATAAATAAATAAATAAAGGTTCTTTAAAAATTCTTTAAAAAATAAATAAAATTAAGTAATGTAGATAATGGAACATGGTTTAGGTATTTCTCCCTGTGTCCTACTTGCATCAAAAACAAACAAAAACAAAACAGCATCTTATTACTGGAGAACAGGCTAGTGCTGGCATTTTTAAATTCACGGCATATGAGAAATCCAGTTTCTTGTTATGTATTTTTTCTTTTGCACTGTTTTAAAAAAGAAAAAATTTTTGATGTGTCTGAAAAATTATTTCAAAAAAGTTTTAAGTATACATAACTTTTCTATAAAGTAATTTTCATAGTTATATAAAAATTTGATATGCTGTTACTGTAGTGAAAAAGAGCACAATTGTTGTGAAGTGCATGACCTTACACCACAGGTGGCAGACATAAGGCCTGGGAGCCGAACCCAGCCCTCTGCCTTGTTTCTGCCCAGTAACAGACCCGAGCTCCTTGCCCCAGTTAAGGAGTAGTTACATTTCTACAGTCCTACCATTACATCCAGCCTTTTGAAGGCATCCGCAATGCCGATGTGGCTCCTGGTGAAAGTGAGTTTGACATTCCAGCCTTACACTTTTGTGCATTTACAGATAGTGTTTAATCATTTGAATTCAAATAAGGTAGTATTTAAAAGGTATCCATTGAAATATTTTACTGTGTATTACATTAGTTAGTATATGAGAGTCAATGACAGAATTAAGTTACATAAATAGAACTACTTCCACACAACCCATTTCAAGAAAATGGTCCTCAAATGCAGATGTTGGAGCTCCTAGGGTCTCATAAGTTGATTCTGATATGATAATTCTGTTATTTCATTTTTTAATTAAGCTTTAATCTATAATAAATAAGCAGTGGAGTTATTGCAGACATTTTTCATTTGTACACATGTGTGTAAGTACTGTTTTATAGCAGTGTTTTAGACTCGCCCGGGGAGTGTGCCCGGCCCCTGCGTCCTCTCCCTGGCACCCGCAGAACATCACTCAGACAGCGAGGGTAACGTTCTGTCGATCCCTGTCAGCCAGTCAAAGTGTGGAGTTTCAGAGTTACTGTATTTGAAATTCTTCAGCTCAAATCACTGAGGACTCCATTTTAAAGTACTCCCTAGCCTTATTATTTTGCTTCATTTTTAATAACTTTTAGCGACAGTGATGAGGAAAAGAAAGCAAGAAGAGGCAGATCTCCCAAAGGCGAATTCAAAGATGAAGAGGAGACTGTGACGACAAAGCACATCCATATCACACAAGCCACAGAGACGACCACGACCAGACACAAGCGCACAGCCAACCCTTCCAAAACCATTGATCTTGGAGCAGCAGCACATTACACAGGGGACAAAGCAAGTCCAGATCAGAATGCTTCAGCTCATACGCCTCAGTCTTCAGTTAAGGTGGGAATGGCATGAATCTACACATTATACACAGTTGCATTCTTGTGGATTACTTTTAGAATTACTGCATTAGTAGGTTTGGGCATTTCCAAGTAATCATATTAACTACAGATCTTTTGGCATGTATTACTCTGAGTCATTAATAATAAGTAATCTCCTGGGAGGAAGAAATCTGTCCAGTTCCTGAATGATTGTCTGCACTTTCTATGAAAGTAGAAATGATGCTTTGGTTCACTTGGGAAAGGTTGTGAATCAGAATTTAGTCCATCTGTTTCCTTCTAGACATGGTTACCAGGTACGATGAGATCCACCAAGGAAAATGTGGAAGTCTTTGGAATTTATAAGAAATAAATGAAGAAAGATGGCCAAAATAGATACCTGGGGGAAACGGCCTTGTTTGGCACAGAGGAGGTGCCTATGAAGGGAGGCATATTTGTTTGCAGGTCACTGCTCTGACCAGGGGCAGCTCTGACGCATGTCATTTCCCCATTTGTTTTTCATTTACCACAGAAATGGAAGTCCGACTGCTAGATACCTGGCCATGAGCTAGTCTTTTAGACAGAAATCTGCCAAAGAGGGAGATTTGTCCCCAAAGGCTAAATTGTTATTTTGTCAGTCTTCCCCCACTCGTGTTAACTTGTATCTCTGCATCAGAAGTAGCTCAAGTTTGGGAAAACATTTTGCTAAGGTATCCCTGCTAGTATAGTAGTAGGTGACTCTAAAATTAAAGGTAGTCCTACTTAGTGTCAAAAACAGGTATCATGTTAACTTTTGCCAAATATCTTCTGGTATATAATTTCATTCATATTTGCTCTTTTTAAAATTTGGGTGAAAATTTCAAAATTATAACTCAACTTTAGTTGAAGTTAAAAAGGGGAAATGGCTTGTTCTTCTTTCTCATCCTAGATTTTAAACCCCTGTTGTGGACACAGTTAGCTTACAGATGCCGTCTGTGTGAGGTCTGGTAGTCTTAACTGAAATCCACACGCGTGGCGGCTGTCATGTGGAAGATTTACTTAAGGTCACATGAAGAAAATTATCCCAACTGCATAATGTTTTAACAATAAATTAAGACTTTTATAATTCATAGGATTTTTAAAGTATCAATTTTTTGTAGGTGGTTACTCTGCCATAAATATTTTATATCTGTAGTGTAAGCTTTTTGATTTTGTTTTTAGAAGGTCGACATCCTGAAAAAGTTTCTCAACTACTTCAGATCACTTTTGATCTCAAGGTCTTTTTGAAACATAATGTAGTACTTTAGTGGACAAAGCTCAGATTAAAGGGCCCAGGAACTCGCCAGTGTTTCCCTGTTGCCTAGCAATTCTGATCTCATTTAGTGTGTACACACTGAACATACACATGTGCTTCAGGGTGCTTGGCACTATGGGGAAGAGAAGAACTACATAACAGTTCCAGCCCCATAATTCCGTTTGGGAACTAGATGTAAAATAATCAGATGGCAAGGTACATCATACAACAGAATTA